TTATAGATGAATTTACGTTTTCGCCCTTCTCCGTTGATTTTGCAAGACCAAATTTAGAAATCTTGGCACGTAGATCCTTGGTAAGTAATATATTACTACTGTTTATATCTTTATGAACATAAGCTGGATTCGCAAAATTATGTAGATATTGAAGACCTTTAGCAACATCTAAACCAATACGAATACGATTATTCCATGTTTGACTTTCTTGACAACACAAATCTTGAAGCCATTTGTTTAAAGAACCATTTTCCATGAACTCATAAACAAGGTAACAGGCTTTATCATGTTCACACACTCCATAAAGACCAATAAGATTAAAATGATTAAACTTTTGAAGAATATTCACCTCTTTATTCGCGTGTGCTCCCATCTGTTTAATCGCGACTTTTCTACCCCTTAAACTCCCTTTATAAACCGAAGCACTTAATCTGTGTTCGAGGGTAAATCCGTCCGTGGCCTCCTCTAATTCTTCAAATCTGTAGATTTTAAAAAGTTGATCGACACTAGCAATACCAAGTTGAATATCTTTAGGCAACGCCCATTTTACGGTTTTACCCTTATTCACTCCTCTTTTGGATATTAAATATATCACAAAAACACCACAAAGAATCGCTAAGAAACCACCTGATAACACCCCGGCTATGATTACTTTCTTTGAAAGATTCCAATTCCGATTCCGGCCGAGTGTTCTTGTTTGAGAAGTCAAAGATTCAGTAGATAGAGGAACAAGAAGGGTAGTAAACGGAAAAATCTCTTCAACAGAAGAAAACCCGTTTTCCAAAACTAGATCATGAACACTTACATTAAACCTCTTACTAATTTTCTTGATCGAATCTTTCCAAGTAATCAAATAAGTCAACAGAAACCTGATTCCGTCGTTGGTTTGACTAACCGTAGGACACGCACATCTAAGCGGGACATGAAGCTTGTCACCAGCATGCAAATCAAGTCGATCATAATTATTATATTTTTCGAGGGAATCGCATGTTGTTAAACCTTGGAATGTAAGATTTGCGATCGTGAAATAGGTATCATAAAGAGTGGGAATAACAAAAGAGGTGTTAGCCTGATAGTATTGATCATAACAAGAACATGTTACGGGAATGATTAACTCTTTGTTTAGAGGCAAGATGTTGTTGGAATCAGTGATTCCGTTGATCCGGGCAACATCTATATGGTCGATTGACATGAGCTTGGAGATGGTGAAAACGGTGTTGTAAACAGGTTGAGTTCGGAAGATTAAGAAGGTGGAACACGATTGTATTCCGTTGCAAGTGTAGAGGAATGAAGGGAATGGGCCTGTTTTGTCGGAATTGTCGCAATCCATAACCGTATTTCCGGAGTACAATTGTTGAGCGATGGATTCGTGAGTGAAAAACAGGAATGGAAACAGGAACAGGAATGGGTTCATGATTGATGGGAAAAGGAAAGTCGGGTTGGAATTAGAACACTTTGTGAAATGATTGAAGTTAAGTAGTTGAGGAAATTGAACTATTGAAGCATCGTTTGTTGACTAAAAGAATATGAACGACAACTATTAAGCATGATGATATCATTTGTGGAAAAATTGAACTCATCAAGAATAAAGAATTAGGAAATGTTTTCAAACCAAAAAGGTGTTGAAAGGGACTATTGAACCAAAAAGGTGGTGAAAGGGACTTTAATAATATATGATTTTAAGCGTAAATTAATGAATTTTTGTTATTAAATTTTACATATAGAAACAATGTGCATTCTAAATGTACTATTTTAATTTAGGGAAATTGTCAGAAAAGTCTCAATATTTTCAGGAAAGTTACACTTTAGTCCTAAGATTTTTTTGAATATTAAAGTCTCGATTATTTTAAAAAACACGATAATATGTCATTTCCTGTTAAAAAAAATGACTTTTTTGTAAACTTGAGCCAAAATGAAATAATCCTGACTTTTTTGTTTTAAAAAAAATCTTGGAACTAGAGTGTAACTTTCCAATATTAGGACTTTTCTGATAATTTCCCTTTAATTTATAATAGAATGAGAAAGCCACCTGCGGGATATGCCTAAGAAAATTAAATTAAAAAAAATGGAAGCTAGGAAGCATATTCCATCAAGAATTGTCAATTCTATTCAATAGACAGTAATAATAAAAAAAAAACAAATAGCTTTTTTGAATTTCAATGAAATCAAGCATTGTATTTTGATCTTAATTCCATTATAGACTACGCTAGTGTTTATGAAGATGAAATCAATGGTTCATTGAATCGAAACAAAAAGGTTTGTTTTACACAATAAAATAGAATAAATCAGATTTTGAGTTCTTTTTATTTTGTTAATTTTCAGTCATTAATAAGTTTTTCATTCAATATGAGCAATTGCACTATAATTCATTTTGGAGATGAAATTTTTAGTCAAACAAGGTAACAAACCTTTTAACAAAAAGTCATTATTTTAATTAAATATCAAGTTTTTTTTAAGAATTAAAAAAAATAAAATTCTTAACTTATTTGTTTTTAAATAATCTTTTTAACTTTAATATTTTATTTTTGTATATATAGGTTTGTTTATTACAGTTAATAATAATGTGTAGAGCAAAGTTAAAAATTATACATTTATTTACATGCAATATAAAAAACAAAATAGAAACTTATTTGTTTTGACATCCTAACCAAATATGATCATTAAATTTCATGTGATAACTCATTACATTACCTTGTTTATATAATTACATTATGAATTATGTTCATACATTATTACATTTTTACGACCAAAAAAACGCTAACTAAAGGTATTTCGGTGCAAAGATATTTCAAATACCAGCTATGCATAAAATATGTCGAATATGAAATACTTGACAAAGACTTTACAAAAAAACCAAAACCAAGACTTGTAAATGCAATACTTTTTATTTTCTGTACTTTATAATATAATAAAATAAAATAAAAACCTTTTCAACGGTTTAGTTTTTTGGGCCCAGTTACAAATGGTTCAGTTTATTTTGTCATTCGACCGGTCCAATATAGTAAAAGCCCGGTTTGACCCTTTCTCTGAATTGCGTCCAGAACAGGTTCAAGTATCTAACCTAATAAATGAGGTTCAAGTATCTAACCTAATAAATGAAAACACTGTCACTTCTCATTTTCTCAAAATTTGTATTTTTGTTTCACTTGCTCTTTAAAAATGACACATAAGTTTTTTCCACTTGTCATTTTTTGAGAGTTTTTTATTTTTTTTAAATGATAAAATTAATAGACATTAATTGAGAATCAAATTATCACCCCTCAAATCTGGAGGTTTCTCAATCTTTTGGAATTACAATTACAATTACCTCATATATAGGATGTTATTCTAATAAATATTAAACATTTAAAATTTATTTATTTAAACTATAGATTATATAATACTGGCTTTAAGTTTTATATTTATTATTTCTTTTTGTTATATTTTCCTTATAATTTGTACAATTGTTTTCTAAAACTTGTAGATATTAACAAATTCGTTATTACTTTTCTAATTCGAATTATTATGCAAATTGGATTCCATTCTGGGATAAGTTTGCATCCTTAAAAACCAGCAAATCACAATAAATTGGAAAGAAAATTGTATCCAAAACTGAATCAGATTGACCATATGGTTGGAAGCGGTGGTATTTTGACAAAAACTTATTGCTTCTTTTTCTTTTGATATTGTTCATGTACGATGCCAATGTTTAGCAATTGATAAGTTGGTATTAAAATTCGATTTTTCAGTTATGTTACTAAGAAATATTGATCAGAAGTGTGGTTTATATAATGGAATGTGACGATCTCTATCGAATGTAAGGTTGTTTTTAAGAGAACTGATGTTTACTAATGGACAATTATATATTGTATTGTTCATAGTTAAAAACAAAGATAGATTAAATATATTAAATTTAGATAATAATGGTAAACTTAGCAATAGGACATCTAATGTTGTATTTAAATAAGTTTTTGAAATTTGTGATTTTGAAAAATTATTTAAAATAGGTTAATAGTTTAATTTCTTACTTATTCAGCATTTCATTTGTATTTATTTCAAAATTTTAATTTAAAAAATTGTTAAAGTTTATACCTTGGTATTTATCTTTTTTTACTCAACCCGTGTACTACACGGGTCTCACACCTAGTCAACTAATCAACTAAAAACAGAATAAAGTAAAACAGCCGTTTAATTCCTTTTTAATTTTAAACTAGCAAAGAACTCGCGGCTACGCCGCTTTTGGGGTAATATGGGGAAAATCGGCAAACTATAAAAAATACGTGTTGAAAGTGTAAATCACCGCAAATAGGAGAGAAAGTCGACAACCCCTAAAATTAGATGTCCAAAGTGTACGACAACCAAAAGAAGAGACACTGGTGGAGAAAATCCAAAAATGTTGTGGCAATAATGTGAAAGTTGCCAAAGTTGAGAAAATATGGTGGCAAAATTCTAAAGGAGGTTTTTTGTGTTTTTTATGTCAAAATGTAAAAGTTTTGACTATAAGGATGAAAAGTGTCAATTTCATTAAAGATTTGTGGCAAAAACACCATAATATAAAACTTTTCACTGCAAGGAC